CTATTATGTAGAATTAAGGTATGAGTATCAAGGCGACAGAGGGCGGGTCATGCCTTTGCCATGGTTGGGGAAAAAAACACTGCGATCGGTAAGGTACCATGACGTTTTTTTGCGGGAAGTGCTTCTGTTCCTTGCACAGATTTTGTATTTTTAAACAATGGGAATTTGTTTTTGTGTTAGCATGATAACATTTGCCAATCAGCACAAACCAAAGTACAGCTGAGGCTAATAATAATGCCAGTAGTTTTGCAGGCATGTGGCCATAAACCAAAGTAATGGACTAATGACAATTCTGACCTGATGGTGGCACTAGAGGACAAGTCAAGGGATCACCAAAGTCAGAATGCGCAATCTCCTGAGTCCAATGAACGTCTGTCCAAACGTTCATTGCAATCCATCCAATATTTGTCGATGTCCTTCAATCTGAACCAAAGTGGTGGATTGAACGACATTACCCCCCCTAGTGCCATGCTGTCCCAAAACAGTCCCAAAAATTGTTGTATATTTCAATACAACATTTGCATTGTCTTGTTGTTTGCTTACATTGTACCTCATCCACATCACCAAGTCTTGTCCCTAAAACCAAGTCAGATTTATAGCTGATCTACGTAGACAGGCGTAAGGTATCCTCACGAGTCTAGACAGGGGACATACCTGTCTGTCTGAGTCTAAGCGTAGCATGTCATCAGGCCAAGGACATAAATGTCATCTAATGACAAAACCGCCTGCTATTGCTGGACAGATTCTCTGAATATTTTCTATTCAGTGATCTAAGACATCTGTGCTTTTGTAGCAAGCCAGCCACTTAGTTCCCACGCAACAGGCTGGTGAAGAGTTTTTTTTTTTTTGTTTTTTTTCAAGGTACACTGGAGATCTACATTGCCCATTCATTTAAATTTCTCCATAAACATTGAAAACCACTTTACCGTCAGTAAGACAGTCTAGTATGATCACAACTCTTTCAAAAACAACACTGGATACCGTCTCCCCAGGATGATTACCTTTACAGCCTGAAATGTGGCTTTGAGGATCGAGACAGCTTTCAATGCTCCCCGTCATATCGGTCTATTTTATCCCAAGCACTCCTCCTCCCCGCACGCACACATTTATTTTCTTGACCAATGTGTTAGCCAAAACCAGGGGCGACATGGAGCACCCCTGAGTGTTTTTGTGTTCACTGCTGCCCTCCAAACCCACATGAACTTAAGGTGAGAGGACAGTCTTAAATGACAAACTTACCTCAGGTGGATAAGGAAAAGAAATAGCTTTGATATGCTGCATTTTTACTGAGTGCTGAAAGAGCCATTGGTGCTCACCACCCCGCCAGTAGCACTGTGAATACCACTGGAGTTCTTATAGCAAGATCCCGCATCAACTCCCCAAGGTAAATATCATCTTATGTCTAGAATCAGGTTATGTCCTTTTCTCTTATATCATACAGAGCTAAATGACTTCCTTTGGGCAATGCTGGGATTGCTACTGGGGGACTGTCGTGTCAAAAAGTAGCAGCAGGCATGTGTTTAAATTGTTCAAAAGGTTGCGGTTTCCACTCTTTTTGTTTCCAAATGAGAGCAGTGTGAAGTAAAGTGTCTACACGGGCCTGGATTGTTGAAGACTCCTCAGGCTCTCTTTGAGACAGTTTTAAGGGGGTAAAGGTTTAGAGTTTTGAGTGCAAAATCCATTATGACCGTTAATCACCTCATTCCTATCTAAATGGTTTTAAAACCAGAGCTTTAAAGGAGGTCTTGTGTTACCATTCCTGTAAAACACTGGACATGTAAACCACACACTGACCTTACCTTCGCTGGAGCTCAGATCTCAAGTGCTGATAGAGTGATGGCTTTGTACCGAAACGACAAAGGTGGGCTACTCACCGCAAAACAGCATGTGCTCTACGTTAATGCAGATCAGACAAGGATTATCAAGAACATTACATTGTTAACAAAAAGGACCAACAGTGACAAGCCTCGCTGATATTTGGATCCAATTGTGAGAATGTAACATTAACCAAAGTTAAAGAAGACAGACAGCCTGGCATGCGCAACATTTAGGACACAGGATAGGCATAATGAGCCTGGCATCGTTCTCAACAGCATGCTGCATTCTGGGAGAGCACTCGGACGGCAGTGCCAGTCTGTAAGAGAAGACAGCTCTGCAGTGCAATTTGTCTTAACCAACCAGGCATGACGGAGCCCTGAGGGCATGTGCAGGAGTTAAATGAGTTGGATCCCTGTGGCCTGACTAAAGAACAGGGTAAATGTCTTCAGCTTCCACAGTAGGTTAGGTGTGATCACAAAACAGGTTGATGTGGCGACAGCTAGGTGATAACAAAGCCCACAACATAACAGTTTCCGCAATGCATAATCTTGCTCATTTCAGCATAGCAAGGCTTTCTTTACAGTCAGTCACTGGCAAGAAGCTGCACGTCATATTGTTGACAGATCAGGCTTAGCGATTTTAGCTTCCGCACACTGAGCGGGCTGCTGAATGAGATCCGTTTTCGGATTTAACAGACCCAAACACGGACTTCTTGAACCGAGTGACGTGGGCCAGCTCTGCCTGCCAACAGCAGCCGATGCGGTAGCACACCCCTGTTGTCATTCGGCTCTCAAGGCTCCTCAAGCGTTGAGGCTCAAAAGTTAATGAGCTGAATCTCTGCCCCTGGCACAAAGCTAGCACTTCCTGCAGACTGAGAGGAGTCTCAGGTTGGCCTGCCGTAGCTTTTAAGAGCAACCTTGTCTGTATGCAGAACAACAGTACCTGTGTATTCTGATGTTCTTCTGTGGGGGCGATTGATGACTTGAAATGAGAAGATATGAGGACACACACAAAAATAGGGGCCAAGCCCTTTCACTGTAAAATTGCAGGATGATGATGATGACGGGTCTCATGCCGAATTCTTCTTGCTTGACTAAACAAGAGTAGTTAACTTAATGTCTTCTTGATAAATTGCAGCATTGCTAATCAGGATGGATGACTGCAGGAGCACTGCCACTGATGCTTGCAAGCTTACTTTTTGAGATGCCTGTTTATGTGCTTGTGGCCAGAACTGCAGGGGAACCTTTCCATCTGTAAACAATCACACACTGTGCACTATATTTGTTGGATGAATGATGAACCATAATACTATAGAGACGGATCCTCAACACCAACAGTGATTATATATTAATGGATATCGTCCATGAACAGTGAATCATTAGGTTGTTTGGGTCAAGTTTGCAATCTACCACTTGGAGGGAGAATGTTTCAACCATTGTCAATTACTTTTAACTAACATCTATCTAAGTCATTTATACATTACCTTTAGCTATTTCAACCAATTCACTGCTTTAAGATAACCACTGATCCATTACTTTTAGATGATTAAACTACGTATCCATGTCTTTTAGCCATTTCAACCATTTATCCATTAGCAAATTATTTTGCTTACTTAGCTTTCTCTACTTCCAACTGTCTTCATTAACCGTTTTGACTCAGGTCCTACCGTTTCTTCACTTTTGTGAAGCTGAAAGTTGCAGCTACTTCTAGCTCAACATGACGGCTCCCGGGCGAGATTTCACTGCACAGCTGTGGTGTCTCATAGTAGAAATAAAGGCATTAGGTTAAAACCAAAACTTAAGTCAATAATTCAATTGTTTATAACTTTATTCAAGGTTCCATTAAAGCCATTGTACAAAACAGAGTTGCAATACGAAATACAGTTTGTAGTCCCATTTTGCTACATAAGAAAAACTCACAGAAAAGGCAAAACAATAATATATGTTAACCCGTTTTGTTCAGCTGGTTTACATTTACCTCAGATTTGCTTTGTTGATGCCATATTCTGAAGCCCTGCAAGTCATTGCGGTGTTGATGTTGGTAAGAATGTGATGTTCCTGTGCACACTGTACTTGGCTGTTTGTCTTGGTGGCGGTCTGAGGCTGCTTAATAGCACCGCTCTGGAAGAACGCAGAGCTTCTGGATTGATAAAATATCCCCGAGATCAAGCATCCGAGGGCCTTCAATTCATTACACATGTCCTCAGCCTCCCCGGTTCAACCCTGTGATCAAGTGCCGCCCCTTGATCACCCATGGAGAGAAATACCACACAAAAGCCCTCTTCTGTCTTCTGAGGGTCTTTGTTGTTGAGTGTGAGAGCTAGACTCTTGAAAATAGATAAATAATGTCTATAAGCGTTGATAAGAATGTAACTGAAGGTAATTCTAAGAGAGGCTTCAAGGCTGTTTGGTGTACAGAAAGAGAAGTCTGCTTCCCAGTCTCACATGTGGTCTTTAGAGAGTTCATTACTTTTAGGGTTTATTGAGCCATTAGCTTGGGAAAGGATAAATAGCTGTTGACGTGTCATTAGAAATTAGCGTGCTGCCATGAAGTTTACTGCGAGGGTTATATTGTCATCAACTGGCAGTGTTATACCAACCTGATGAGGACTAACGGGGCAAATTCCAGTCAAATGTAGCACATTAAACTGCCATCAGTGCACAAGAGGACACCACTTCTCCTTGACCTCGTACACCACTGGTTTCAACAAATCTACTGATGTACACAATCACTGAGAAGCAGCTGTTATTTGAAATAGTTTCCAGTCTGCTTTGTGTCTTGTGTGTGAAGACAGAAAGAAAGATCTGACTTCTGACATGCCAAATCCCTTCTGTGAGAGGAATAAATTGGCTAACATGGAGTAGACGAGGAAGTGCTAGAAAATCTGTAGCCTCGTTAAAGGCAGGAATCAATTTCTGTCAACAAAAAGCCCTTCACCACACAACCGCAAACCTGCTGTTCCTCTATCATCGACGTTAATAAGCACTTCATAAGTCAGCAACAGGCATGCAATCTGAAGTGACATGTTATTTTCTCCTTGCTCTTTTTCCTGGATTGCGATCAATGGTTTTTTCCCCAGTTTTTTTAGTAAAAATCACGCAAACTCAATGATGAGGAACGTGATATGACGTGCATGTTAGTTAAGGCAAGAACTTTCCATCCGTCCGTTTTCACAGCATACGTTAAATGGAAAACAACCGTCTTTTATTAGACTATAAATGTGGTCGCTAACAATTGTAAATAATTACAATGATTCAATGTAGGCTACAGTCTGGCAGCACATACTCTCCTCCCCAGTCCCCCCCGCTGGTCTCTGCAGTCTGCACTTAGCGCTGCTTCTTTCTCGCGTCGGCCACTCAGTGGGAGACATCAACATACAGAGTGTAGCATGAGCGGGTCGAAGGTCAGGAACTCAGTGGTGCGGGGCCTTCTCTACTGAGATACTTGTACAATCATAAGGTTGTGTGTGAGTGGCAGTTAGCAGTGGGTCGGCACACCAAGAGCATGTGAGTGTGAGGTGTGATCACTGTGCGCTTGTGTCTCCTTCGTCTGCCAGACCCCAGCTGCGCTGCGCGGTATTGACACCAGAGAGAAGTTCAACAAATCCTCAGTTAGGTTTACAGACATGCCACTGATGCCCGACTACTTTTGTACTCTCTACAAGAACTCTGGGCTTTGTATGGCTAACTTGTTGTGACACATCATGATCAAGTGTGAGCGGGTTTTTGGTCCTTCATTTGGGCATTTTCCCTGCAGTGTTTTCATGAGTGATTAACATATATCCTCTCATAGTCCTGCATGTGCTTTGTATAGAAACGTCTGCCAAATAACGTGCTGTGTGTTAACTCACGTGTGTAGCGTTAACAAATCATTGATTTTGTATAGACTGTAGAATTATGCAGAGACATGATTGCTCTCTGGCGCTAACAGACAGCTTGACAACTCAAAACACAGATGCATGCAGATCTGCCCTGGTTGTCCGCCAATAATCATCACAGGCAGCATGTTGTTTTAAGGAATTAATACCAACATAGTGGTGAGAGTCATGGCGTGAGCAACAGTCCTTTGCGGAAAGCGCCTTCTCTCACTTTGCAAGTGCCCAAAGCCACAAGCATCCCTGAGTTACATAACAGTCCTGTTGTGTAGGCGTAGACTTCTGTCTTTTTCGACTCAGGTCATGGACAGCCACACAGATGGACAATAAAATGAGGTTCCAATATCCTGATAGCATTCTCCACGGCAGAATCTTCATAGACTGATAGAAGGGAGACTTGATCTGTGTAAGTGCATTTCCAGGTTTCGAAATGAAGAAAATGCTCTGAAGGGAATGGGGTCTGGTGTCTGCCAGACTCATGCTGTTTATGTCTACGGTCAATAGATTATTCAGGCAGCAATGAAGGGACCTACAGTACATCTACCTGGCCATGACAAACTAAAAAACTAAAGTTACACTATAGTGATGATGGTTTTGAAGACAGGACAAAATGAGAGATCCATTCAAACAAATTATTCAAACGCATGTTTCATTATATACATTTGCACTAAAGTGGTCTTCTAAATGGATAAAACGTAAAAGGATTCACTAAATCTTAATTTGAAAAGCTGAATGAATAGGAATGAAAACGTCCTTCATCAGTGCATGATTGGTGTGACGCAGCAAAAAAATGTGCTTGTCTGAAGTTTAAAGTGCATGGCCGTCTTCAGAACCAGGCAGAGAAGCCGTGCTTTTCCTTCTCCACCCATATGCTGTCAATCACCTTCCCATACTGGAACACAGAAAAAGGTCTTTGTCATGACTTGAGGCAATACTGTTTGACCTTTAAATGCATCCTTTGCTCTACTTGTGTGCATGTTCCTCCATGTGTGCTCACCTGGTCATCGGAGACCTGCTCCAAGTAAATGTGGGTGGCATTGACTACTTGCATGCGGGTGTAGCCGTAGTCCGTGCTGCGGAGAGCGCTCCACTCTTTGGGGTTTGGATTGAACTTGTCGGTCTTCTCTCTGCAGCCCTGCAGAGGAACCGACAGCGATTAAACTGAATCTGTTAGCAATGAGCCGCATGCATTTCTCCAGCTCTGTCCACGAAGCCCTGTGTGACTACTTCACCACACAGACTTCACTACTGTGGCTGAGCCTCGGTGCGAGTCTGGCCGCATTTTGATATGCCGATGACTAATCCCTCTGTGGTTGGATGACAAAGCACGCACCGCTCACCACATCAGAACCCACTTAACCAGAGGAACAGCTGGTACTAAACTCATGTGGCAGACCAATTGTTGCACAGAAAGGACTGCGAACAATACATAACATTGTTTTTGTATATGCTGCTGTCAATTTATTCATTGATCTGTTTGTGAAAAGGTAAACAGTGATGCAGCAATGTGAAGGTACTTACAGCAGAGCCTGCGATGATGTGTACTGGAGCTTTTGGGTTCACATAAGGCTGCTCTTTGCTTCCATTGTGCACCTAAAGAGAAAAACATCCGTCTCTTTCACTGATTCAAAACAAAGGCTATAGATGTAAGCATGTGGTGAGTTAAGAATGCAGGTGCTGACCTTGTCACCGTAGACAGGCCAAAGCCTCTCATATGTGTGCTCATGTGCCCACAACTCCACATCCACTCCTGTGAAAAATATCTGATAGTCAGCAACCTTCCATAGAGAAAACATAACTTTAGCTTTCACATTTTGCTGTGTGATCTGATGTTTCTCAGATCCTCTGCCCATTTCATTTTGAGATGTCTCAGCAATGTTAACAAAAAGCTTAAAATCAGAGCAACTAAAACTTTCAGAGTTCCACCACCATAAGTTCAATAATTAAATGCAACAAACAAAAGCCTGGGAAATATAATACAGGAAAAACATTTTGCAGGGATATCAGCCAGACCAAAGGCCTGCTTTTTTAATAAAGGATGTTTGGATTGCTCTGCTCTCTGCAACTGTTGGGACATTAGTCTGTCTGAGTTTGCTAATCTGTAAACTTAAACACCCATTAGCAGCACACAGCTGGTTGTCAAATAGAGACCGTACCATAGCGGTAAAATAGATCCTCTAGACCTGGAGCTGGCGGTTGGGTGTCATTCCGTCCCAGTCGGACCTGAGAAATAACAGAGAGGAAAGAAGTCAGCATGACCTGGCAGTAGCGTATGAAACACTACCTGCCACCTGAAACACTACCTGACAGAGCCCCATCGTGCATGTGCCAGCCTCCGTGTAAACCGAGCCAAGTGCTGAGGGAAGTAAGTCTTAGTGGAAAGTATTTGGTCCAAATTTACAGTGATTATGACAGCATACTGTGAATTGGCTTATTATGGGCTGCGATGTGGACTGGCCATCCAGCAGTAATTCAAGTTTTCCTACAATCCTACAAATACCTTTATGATGATAAATTAAAACCTTTACCGCCAAAATGTGCTGCTCACTAAAGAACACACTGCAAAATAAACTATGAGAGCTTTGGAGGCAATCAAAAGTGTTTAAGGTGATGATATAATATATTTTTGGTAATAAAATGTCTGCCATCAGGAATGCAGCTAAGTTATTACAACAGGAATGTCCACACTTGAGAGCAAGCAGTAGCCTCCTGCTTTACGCAGCTTCTCTTTACTTCCTGTTTCTTATAAATAAGTTTAAAAAAACGACCTGTCATATAGAAACATATAGGATTCTGTGGTTTACACACATAGGAGTCAAACCGAGTACAGTCGTCTTGGTCGTCATCGGAGCAGTACATGGGTCTGTGTCCCATGGTGATGATCCATGGACGCACTGCTCGGTTCTCTGGCCTGTTGGCCTCCTAGGTTGGGAGAAGGAAGTGGTAAAAAGCATGCATACATCATTGCGTGCCACACTGGGATACGAAGACAATTTTGTGTTGGAACAGAAAGTGGAATGCATAGATTTATATCTATAATGGAAAAAGAGAGGCAGAGAGCAAGTGTGGAAACAGAGAACACTTAGCCAATCGTCTACACGTGTAACTGGTGTGGTCATTAACCTCGAGGTCTTTCATCAGCCACTCGTACTGCTTGAAGATCAGCTCCTGGCCGAATTCGAGATAGAAATAAACCTCAGTGGAGAGGGAGATGATGTGTGCTGACCCCAGGTTCCAGCTGCAGATACACATCGTTAAAATGATACACAGTATGGCCCAGGAGAGAAAAGCATGCCGAAAGTCAGCGGATAAGCAAGGCCTCACTTTAAACGCCAGATAAGTGTGAATAATACTCTCAAATCCAGGCAATGTTTCGTCTCTGACATTCTGCTGCTGAATGCGGTGCCAGGTCCACTTGAGGGAATAACCTCCTCGCTGTAATACGAGTGCTTACGTGTTCATCCTGCAGCGTTAATGGAAAAGCATAAAAGCATGTGTTCTGTACATGTGTGCTACATGTTATGAACTGAACAGTTTCCAGTAGCAGTTGTGGGATTTCAGGTTGCCTCTCCTTGTTGCTAACCGGCTCTCATCCAGCAGGCCTGTCTGCATCTATAGGGACTGATCAGTGGGCAGCTAGCCTGTGGTCTAGCAAGGTATTATCTTACTGTCTGAGAAAAGGTCGTCTGTAGTGGACTATGAGTCACCTACTTAGATGTATAGCATCTTTGTACGGTGCCCATGTCCCTGAGATAGGAGAGCGCTCCTAAGCTGCAAATTCCTCTGGGCTGCCTCTTACAGCTCATTAATGCGTTCTGAAATACAGTAGGAGGTTTTGGTAAATCTTCCCGTGGTACTTCACATGGGGCCCAGGTCGGAAAATAAATGATTTCTCTGTAGCTAGCCTTCACTTTCATCTAACCAAAAACTGCTGGTTAAGCACGTCAAAGCACATTAACTGAAGCAACAATTGACTAAGTCAAATATTGAGTTGTTCCATAAAGCCAACATATTCTGTTCTCTCTTACCTGTACCACAGGCTTTCAGTCTGGCCTGGCATGCTGAAGCGATTCCTGTAGTTGGAGAAGTTACTGCAGACAAAGAAGGTAAGAAAAAAGAAAAAAGTTAGATGGACTGATCATACAATCTAGGTTCTTTGACTGTGAAAAAAAAAAAGCAGCACCGACACACAGACTCCTGCTCTCTCTTTATTTTGTGGTGCAAATACAATTTTCATCTTTGATATGAGATATAATTAACGAGCGTTTCTTAAAGTAACTGCCTAGTTTCGCTGCAGTTCTTTTGTTTCAGGTCACTTTTCTGTATTCATTTCAACCTCGTAGAGCACTCTGGGTGGTAAATCAGCGGATAAAGATGACCATCAAGCTGTGGTGGTGACATCTGCTTCAAACTTCAGCTATTCTGAGAAACCGTACAATTTTCTGTCGCCAACATATCAGTGGCTGCCTATCCAAATTAAAGGCTGTAGAAAAACATGCACGTAGATTCTGTGACCTCACCCTATAGGTTCCTGATAGGAGGTTTTCAAGCTTAGGATCATGGGCAGATAATCAAACTTGGTGCGACGTGGGGTGGAGCCGAGAGACATCATGGCTGAGCGCACTACACTTGTCAGTCAAGAAAAAAAAAGGCCTCTAAATATACATCTCGAAAAACCAGGGCATCCTCTTTAAGGAACAGAATCATTTTAGATCCAGCGGCCATTAGAGGAATCAAAGCTTAACTTAGGCACCACAGCGGTTTCAGCACTGACATGTGGTAGTTCCTACTTGATGCAGGTACAATAAGGTACTTGCAGTTATCTTTCACTGCTGCCATAATCTCCACCACTCATTTCTAGACTCTTTGCACGGCACCAGATGACAAAATCATCAAGAAATACTCAAAAACATCCAAGAGCTCACAATCACGCACGCACACTAAACCAGCACTCACCAAGTATTACAATGCGAGCACCGTGCAAAAGGAGAAAAACTCTTTCATGGAAAGGTCTCCCTCACGCCAATCCGCCAGTCTCTCTTCACGGTGTTTCATTTCAGCATGAAAGCAGGAGCCAATCTCAACGGGCCATTAAGGAAGCGAGGTGAGAATGATTGTTTTCTTATCTTACATAAGGGAGAAAAAAGTGGAGTATTCTGGACTTCATAATGTAGGGTTAGGGGTAACTAGAGATCAAAGGCTGGGGGACAGGGACACAAAAGGAGGATCATAAGAGACCTTTATTAATATGAATAAGTGTGGTAATCCAGCAGAGGCCAGTTTGTGAGCTGTGATCTCTCAGGTGTCTATCATACTATTATAACCCAAAATCCAGTTGCTACAATTTCACATTTAACTGTTGATTGCTTGGAAAGTATTTGAAACGAGCATCATTGCATTTACAACAATGTACAGTATATTCTGATCCAACCACACAAAGCCATGATAGCTAAAACAGAGCTAAAGGGTGAGATCTATTCCTAAATGATCTGAAGTTCTCAGTCATGGTATTGAACCAACAACAGTCATAAGATGGGTTCATACTCCCATCTTGTGGCTAGGACGTGTACCGGCAACAATGTACGGTGATCTGGGAAAACAGTTAGTAGAGATAAACAATCAATTTTGTATCCAGTTAAATAATACACACACTCTCTTGTGATATAACCAGGCACGCCCTGAGGGAAAGGTTTAGCCTGTGGAAATAAATTCAACTGAAGGCTTTAAAGTCTCTCGTTTTGCGGCCTAAACGTGGAAAATCTGGTACAAACATGTATTTTATATTTGTTTCATTATTCTGCGCTATGGGAGTCCAACATATCCTCATCTGTAACAAAAAGCATGCTTATTTCCATGTGGGTTTGCTTTTCCATTAAACCAAGATTGAGATAAACATCTGGTGGCTGTCAAGGTCAATGAGAACACCACGACTCTTAAACTGAACCAACAAGACACCCCCCACCCCCCCCCATCATCATCTGATGAGCCTAATCCAGGCCGTTACAGAAATGAAAGGACCCAGTTGAAGTCTTGAGGAAGGGAAATGACTAACTCCCATCACAGGACAGCAACGGTCATTTCCCTGTCCCTCCGAGGGGCCGATGAAGCGTATTGTGCTCGGTGAACAAAGACAGTCTTGATTGGGGCCTTAGCATCCTCTGTGGATCCACTGCTCTCATCCTGCTGGAATGCTGAATGAAAATTTTTGTGGTCAGCAATGTTTGAATTGCCTTTCACCCATTAGGTTTTGAGGTTGGAAAGAGAGATGAACAGAGACGTATAGTGAGAGGGAGCACATCAGACAGCGAAGGAAGAAAAAGCAGAGGCCAGCTGCTGGGAATATCTGGATTCTTAACAACACCACAGAGCAAAACACACTTTTTACATATAGGGGAGGGAGAGAGGGGAGCTGGATTTCTGGTTGTGTAATGCAGCGAGCTCTTTCTTGATATCAGGTTGCGAAGCCAAGAAAAAGAGACTACTGTTAGCAGCTCCTTAATAAAGGCCAGGCAGTAGTCACATTTCACATGGCAAGGCCAGGCGAGGACTGTCTCAGTACAGCAGCGGCAAGTAAATATTATGGTGCAAGATCAGGCAGCGCTAAACGTTTCAAAATGCATAAACACACACGGCTGACTCCAGCAGATGTACTGGGAATTTAGGGACATTATCTGCTAATCCTCGGGATGAAAAGTATCTGTGGCTTCTGAAAGTTTTGCTCTCTCTCTACATTTTACACATTTACAATCATCTTGTATTATCTTCAACAAAACATTGAACTGAACTTGAATATGTCCCCCGGATAAATAAACTACAATTCATAGACAGCGGTACATTTTTGTTCCCTATTAGGTTGAAAATATAAACCAACCTGAACGATTATTTTGGTGGGGCATAATAAAAATGCTAAAGGGACAAAGACGCAATAAAAATTATTTCAGAATATCAATGTACAACAAGGCTGTTACAATTTGTTTAAGGCTACAACAAATGATTATTGTTATTACCAATAAATCTGCAGATCAGATCAACCTCAACCAATTAAACAGTCCATCTATAAAATGTCATGAAATAGTGAAAAATGCCAACCGAAACACAATTTTGTCTGGCTGACTGACTTTCTAAATTAAAAGATATTCAATTTTATTAAAATTTCCACCCTGGTGCACGATTTCTTGTCATTGTATTGTAAAAAGCATCAAATCCTCACATTTGAGAATCTGGAACCAGCAGATGTTTAGGATTTTTTTTTAACCAAAAATGATTTAAATTGTCCAATCAATAAATCAGCTAATTGTTTCACACGTTTCTGCATTGTTCTCTCCTCGCTGCCCTGTCTCTCAGTCCAGAAAATGACATTAAATGTGAGCAACGCGTTCAGAGATGATGAGTCAAGAACGCAGCCAGAGTTGGTCTCTGGGACCTGAAAAACAGATAGTGAGCTGATGGTTTCCAGTCAGATAAAGGTTTGTTTTGGAGAGCTTTGCCTTGTTGACACGCTGGTGGTTCCTGATGCCGCTCCAGCCTTTAAAGACCAAAATAGCTCCCATCTGTTCAAACTGTACAGTGAGGAGTTTTCAGCAGACCAAAGTGTGTTCTTTATGGAAAATCTGCGACACACCAGAAAGGTTGTTTTTCAGGGGTTCACCCCCCCCACACACACACATATACACATAAAAGAGCACGCTCGCACAGCATTTACAGTAGCCAGTTCTGAATGCAATTTGTCATGAGGTGTCTGGCAAGCTTCTCTCACCAATATGGATGTACTGCTATTTTTGCCCAAAACCCATTAATCATACTTTTGCCCCGAAGCAGAATGTGGCATAAAATGTAAACAAAAAGGAAAACATTAGCTAATCGAAAGCAGAAGACAGACAGGAGAGAGTCACACACCTTCCGAGTTCTCCCACTGACTATGAATGTCACTGTTAAAAGGTCCAGTGTGTACAATTTTGGGACATCTATTAGCAGAACTAATGTTTATTATTGTGTTTTCATTAGAGTATAATCAGCTGAATCTGACAATTGCTGTGTTTTCATTAGCTCAGAATGAGCCCTGTATTTTTACATAGGGAGCATGTCGTCTTCAGAGTCCGCCATGTTTCTATAGTAGCCCAGAACAAACAGGCTAAACACGGGCTTTAGAGAGGGCCTTTTGCGTTTTTATGTTACCTGAAGGCCACCGTAGTCCTCCAAAACTGCAGTAAAGTGACCCACTTAGTGCAAAAGCTGTGGTACCACGAGCCGTGACTTCCTAAAGTTGTGTCATTATCGTAAGGATGGCGTCTGAGCGAGGTGAACGGCGTTACCACAGCTTTGCAGTTGGCGGCTCACGTTACTGCAGTCTTGTAAAGGGAGAGGTGAGGAGGGACATTCAATAGGTGGCAATCTGCAACCACACCACTAGAGGCCAGTAAATCCAACACACTCGAGGAAACAATTCTACACTGAACGTGAGTTCATATAATATATAGAAATTTGGAAATTAGCTTCCACCTACTATGTAGATTCGTGGTTGCCTGGACAGGTCATGTAGGGCACGTAGGCTGCGATGGACTGAATCTGCCTCATGAACTCATCTCCGATCCTGGCATTGTCCTGAAACAGTGACATTCAGCTGTTAAACATGACGCCAAAGATTTTACTTTTTCTCCATTCACTGATTACTTTGATTGCTCTATTTTCCAGATAGCTGCAGGAATGTATCGCCTGTAGAAATAGAAGTTTATGGTGACAACACACGTCGGTGGGGCCATAAAGTGTTGTCGCAGTTCCGGAGAAGTATCTGCTAGTTAGTTAGCTAGTTAGCTAGGTAGCCTGTCCTTCTCTGGATGAAGCATTAAGTTGTTACATTTTCTCTCTACCCTCCGTTACGTTACTACTTCACTGCAAAACCTAATCTCAGTGAGTCGGCGACTTGCCAAAAGTCAATTTAGTTAATATGCAAGTTAGCCCACGACAACGGTCACAAAGGCAACGGTACATAAAAAAAGGCCGCCACTATGACCATCCCGCAACTTTGATCTGAATGGAAATGTCCGTTCTACTCCTATTCTAGCTCTATGGTATAGTTTATCAAACAAACCTTACTGAAATCATAGACATTTGTGTCTTAGATAAGCCAACACTGGCAATGCAAACACACTGCGGTTAACGGCTGTAATGATGGCTTCCACCTGCCAAAAACATTAATGACCTTTCAGACAAAATTCTCTCTCTCTCTCTCTCTCTGTTCTTCTATTTATAATATCAGTGAAGCCACAGGATTTACTTGCACATTCCAGCTAAAAATCACAGCTTGGAATAATTATGGTTATTAATGTGTGCAGTAGTAGTGCTGATGGTATTTAACATTTTTCCCTATTTGAAAAAAATAAGCATGAATAATGCAAGAACTCATTTTAGAATAATGATATAGGTTTCCAAGATAAATTTGTGCTAAATATCACAGATGACAGTTGGGAGGTTTTCAGATGAGCAAATATATTATTGAGACTTAAGATTCTGCGTTTTGAGTGACGCTTATTTTATTTAACAAATACTTGGGCGACATGACCCTGACTCTCGTCTTTCACCGCAGGCTTAAGGCATTTCAGAGTAATGCTAATCATAAGCTGTGTGTCTCAACCACAGCTGAGGGCCTTCATATCCACTTATAATAAACAGTGGTGAGTCTTGAGATGGGGGGCAGTGGAGAGAGGTAAAGTGGCTTATCTCATCTGTCATTGTGGAATTAAGAGGAATAGAAGAGTGGCTTTAAGAATATACGCTAATGTTGAAAGAAATTTGCTGTCAGTTACCTTTACATGGGCATAATTGTGATCAAAGTTTATGATATTGAAAAGACAGAAGAGTGAAATACCTCATGCATATCGTAGGCAAAGTCACCTGTAAAACATAATAAAAATCAATGAACGAAAGAGTTTGGTACAACAACAATAGGTATATCTGTGCACAGTGCCAAAATTAGTTTCCTCCAAAAAGTTGTGTTTATATCTTTGTCATAGGAAATATGCATTTAAAGGAATAGTTCAACATTTAAGGAAACACGCTTAGTAGCTTTCTTGCAGAGAGTTAGATGAAATCGATTCCACTCTCATGTATGTATGCTAAATATGAAGCTAGTTCAATTAGCTTAGCATTAAGAATGGAAACAGCTAGGTTCTATTTAAAGAATTACGAACTGTAAAACTTGTAAAGTGGCTGTAAAACAGTGTTGAACGGGGTGTTTCATTTGAAAAGCCACCAAAAATGTTCACGTTATTTCATCATCTTTTATTATCCATCAAGCTAGAAAGCCAGAGATTCAGTCAGATTTTTAGGCGAACACATTTTGGCACAACCCAGACCAATTATCTGTTTAGCTTCTGCTCCCCACAAGTGTTGGAGCGAGCAAATGACCGGCATCCAATCAATATTAACGTAATAGTAATACATATATTTGATTTGTGTTAGTGTAATCTGTCGCAAGCTGTGCCAGGTATCTGTGGATTACTGATGCCTGAGACAACAGCTGATAAAACAACGCCTCTTTGCTGCTTAAACAGTGCAAATTGTTGCAGTATTTTTTGTATCAGTGTCGAGCTTACCGATGTGCAGGATGGCGTCGTACATGCCGAGCTGCGTCTCCTTTTGCAGTCGTGCCAGAGACTGAGGGTTCTCATTGCCCAGGTCACCGTACAGAGCGAATCTGGGACTGAAGCTGGTGCTGTCGTTCAGAGCGGTGAAGGAGAAAACATCGCTCCAACCCTCATCACTCCCACAGTGGTAGACTGAAATTACACAGGTTGAGGACAAACTTTCTGACACGAGTTATGTTGTGAGAGAAAGTCAGTAATATTAAAGCTCCACCCACCATAAGTAGCAGCAGGTTTGAGGTCGGTGAGAGTGACCCTGTGGATGTACATCTTTCTCTTCTCCTCGCCTGAGTCCACAAACAGCGTCGCGTGCCCTTTGCTGCTTATCTCAAAGAGCCGACCCCCCAGAAGACCGTACTCCACCTGGCTCTCTGTCTCATTGAAGGTGGTCCAGGTCACCACCATAGAACCTGGCACTCCTGTGAAGAAAAGCCCAACTATTGGAATAGTGACATGGAGCGATCTGATTCACTTACTGATGCGTCCATGAAAGCTAAGAGGTGCTTATGAAAAACCTGACTGTGCACAAGAGTTGCGCTTTTCATCTTGCCGCTGGCAAAATATAATAACCATCAGAGAGCCGAGGTAAGCTGACGACTGGCCAGGTATTCATTTCATCAAGACATCAACGCATTTAATGACTACCGCGTTTCACCTTCTATGAGGAATGAACAAAAGAACATGTATGAACCAAGGGTAACATCAGCTACTATATATGTACGGCAGCTCAGGCCATTATCTGGTGCCTTGAACCTAAATGACTTACATTGAGTGCACAGGTAGCATTTCAGAGCAACAGGGCACTTCAGCAGGATATGTTGCTATTGCATGAAACATATAGACTTTCAAGATCACTGAAAGTGAATCTGAACTTCAGTGAACTTGCTGCAGAGCAGCAGAACAGTAACAAAACATCCAGCTCCCCAAATCTACCAGTGCTTTCATTGTATTATTGAGTGATTTGTACAAAAGATCTGTAAATCTGCAATTCATTTGACTTGGAGACTGGTTTGTACTACTAAGCGGAAAACTGATTCCCTAAATGAAAACACATAAGGCTGAGGATAACAGTTCAAACACTTACCTGGATAAGAGAGGTGCGTTTGCTCAGGCTGGGTCCAAATGGGAGGAACACCAAGCACCAACAGGGGTGCAAGGCTTAGCAAGGCCCAGGCAGTATGAACGGACAGCATTTTAACTAACAACCTGCGGGAACAACAACCTGTTGAAAGTAGCAACACACGCTCACACACACACACACACACACACACACACACACACACCCAGAAAATAAAACACTCTTGTGACTGTAATCACATGATGTTAAAAGCTTTCATGCCAAGTGAATGACAGTGTTTTGCACAGTCAACATCATACCTGACCTCAGCTCCAGTTCACACAACACACACAGTTCATGTTTCGGTCTCTGATGATGATGATGATCAGTCAACCCGAATGATGAGAATGCAGAACTGAAACAGCAGAGTCAGCGCTAACAGCTTAGAAAGAGACGATGTGTCCACGAAAGCAGCTGATGTTCATTGTGCATTCAGGGAAGTGAGCTCAAGTGCAGCGGAGATTATCTCACAAGCCACAGCTTGACTTAGATCAATGAAGTGCAAAGGCAAAACTGCTCCTCTGCCTCACTGATCGGAGTGAAGGCACTGCCAGAGTCATGGCCAATGAAAGAAAAGGCATGCTCGTTTGAGCCAATACACTCTATCAGCTGATCTCATTTAATAGCTAACTGCATCTTCAGTTGAATGTGTCTTTCGGTTATATGAGATCAGCTAATTGGGATGACCTGAAACCACGCATCTTTTTTTTTTATTTGCACCATTCATATCTCAATAGTCGCTAGAGGGTGCACACTGCACAGACTGCATAATGAATAGGGTGCTTTATTCTCTGATACAGGGCGGTATTAGTAGTTGGAATCGGATGTTAACTAGTTGGCAGTAGAATCAAAGGGAAGGTGTAACGTTAACTCTACTGTCTCTCTGCATAGGAATGGAAAACAAGGTGAGTAACGTTCACTTTACACCGTTCAGGATAAATTGTTTCACGTGTTGTAACGCGGTTATATTTTGCTGTGAAGGTTCATAGACCACTGGTTTTTCTATTGAACGTTACATAACTTAATGTTAGTTGTTAGCAGGCGAATACTTACCTTTGTTAAGTGAGCGCTACGTACGTTAAAAAGCCTTTTTATTTTGTCTTTGACCTGCACGTACAGTTTAAATATACTGAATACGTCTCAAACACAGCCTGACCCGAATAAGTAAGCTAACGCTAAATGTTAAATGACTAACTTATAACACTCACAACACATGTCAGCTGTTGGCCCGGGAGCAGTTCCTGCTACGTCATTGCACAGAACAACACCATGCCCAAGTGGCTTGTGGGAACTTGTGTTTTGATACGTAATAGCCTGGAAAGCCTGTAAAACTGGAGGATGAAAACTTTATTCTTTTTTTAAAACAACTAAAGACAAAACAAAATGCAATGTAATTGCTGTGAATAATGGTTTAGAGACATACACTATATTGTGATTATCGTATTGGGTTGGCTTGACCACAAAGTCTGTGTGTGCTTGTAGATATTTAATTAAGTCTAAAAATATATTAAAACTGATTAAGGCTTCTTTTTCTGTAGCTATAATGGACTCCAACAGTGAGGATGGAGAGGACCAAAATCTTGAACATGACTTACAACAGGATGCAGCCCAGTACAGAGTGACCTATCCTCGTGGGACAGACACAAAAGATGTGAGCTGGAAGACGCATTATAAAACACAGATGTATTTATGTATGATGGACCTCTTTTGCTGCTTATAATTGTGTTATTTGTCACCATCATATGCAGATGGATTACAATAAAAATGAGGATTTCAACACAAAGAGGTAGGTCATTGCATGTTTTGTGGCTACATTACAGCAAGTGCGTGATGTGGTTTGGTTTTCAAATGAACGTTTGAACATTTCACCTTGTCCAGGTATCCAGTAAGTCGCTCTGGCAACAACCCAGGTAGAGTGAAGCGGGTGGTGTCCTGTAAGAGGAAGACCCATCATCTGACGGTGACTCGAAGGAAGCAGCTCGGGATTGGGAAAATTTATGATGCTGCAAACAAGGAGAATGAGATGAAGTGCATGCAGGACGTGCAACAAGAGGTATTTGACCCTTGGGAGTTCCCACTAAAAGTCAATAACGACCCAGAGACTGGGAAAAGTGGTTCTGAACAAGCCGACTACTGTTCACTTACTGAGGTCAGAAACTATCGCAGCTTGGACTATATTTCTGTTTCTTGTGTTGTGTGTTTTTTTATGAATAACTGTGATAATCTGAACCAAGCAATGTGTTTCAGCTGACAATGGATCATAGCACAATGAATGAAGTGCTCTTTGGAAGAAATCTGAGACTGAAAGTATCTCAAACATTGTGGCAGAGAAACGTTGGAGAGCTGTTGACCTACTTTCTGAGGTACGTTAGGTGTAGTCTGTTTCAGAAATGTGACTCACAGTATTTTCGCTAGAATTTCAAAAGCACTTCACTGTTTTTGTGCAGAATACAAGACATCGGTGTGTTTGTTGATTTTCTCCCGCTGATTAGCAAAAGGTGAGTGATTTGAAATTTGCAAACGTCTGAGCGGCACTGTCGACTAGCGGAGAAAGTGTTTATATAATTAACTTTTCTCTGCAGCATTGATGAGAACTCTCCCAGGGTCACCATTGGCTGTTGTGTTGACCTCTTTCCTTTAGTTAAGAAGGTCCTCACCAATCCATACGAAGAGTGAGTACTCCTCCTGCAATGTGGTGTTTTGTTTTTGATGTGCAGTTGAGTTACTATAGAATGAAATGCATTGTGCACATAGAGGAACAGACAGTATGTGGAAGGATAATTACAAAAATACTAATAAACGAGTATTGCCTTTTATTCTCACAGGTATCTTATAGTTGGTTTGAAGTGGATACATTCAGTTTTGAAAAACTGGTGGGGGGACCTAAAAACAAGTGGCTATAGTGGATCAACTAAACTTCCGATGGATAAGTAAGTGTTGTTGTATGAGCCGTATGATACATCAGACAGATACATACTGCATACATTTAGTTGAAGTTGTCTCGTCACAGTCCAAATATGAATGCATACAGCAGGGCTTAATACTTGGCAGAATTTGCCACTTTTTAAATATTTGGCCCAATGTGTAGATCAGTATACACAGCCATTGTGGTGAAGTATTTATTCAACTTTGTTACAGAAATTTCCAGGCTTTTAATCAGCAGTTAGTGGAGTTATGGCATCAGGAACCTTTGCTAAAATCTGTTCCCGGACCTGCTGGAGACATGGCAAAGGTCAGTGCTGCGTGTATGAATACAATCATTACCACTGCCATTGTTTGTTTTGCATTTTCTCATTCTTCTCCCTTAGGTCATTGACTCCTTCCTGTCTCAACTTACCTGACAGCAACTAAGAGCCAGATAACGGGTCTTTCTCTGGTGGCAGATTCCCAAAAGTGTATTGAATCTTTAGTAAAATCCTTAGTTTGGAGCTGCTATTGTTCCCACAGATGAGTGGGATTTAGATTGTACTGTACCTGTCCTGAGGGGATATCTGTAGATCATCATGTATTTTTTGGGCTGGCAGATGAACTTGAACAGTTGAAATACTGAGACTGTGCAATATAAATGTAATCGTGTCGTAAATTTGACTTGATTGTCTTTTCATTTAACTATTTACTCGGATGTTGTAATTATGACCATAAAGAGGAGTTTTGTCATTGGTGCATTTTCAGTTGTATCCCATAAACTTGGAGGCTTTCATGTGTGGCTATTATCTTTGATTGCACCACTGATGATGAATAAAGTTTGTATTTTCAATGTTAAAGTGTGTGGTTGGTATTTACATTTGTTACAACCAAAACAAAGATTGTCATCACCTTCTTCTGTGGGAGAAGACAGCGCCGATATATATTCAAAGTGTATGTGCTGTACTTTAATCCAACACTGGGCTTCACCTCAAACTAAAACGCGGTTAAATATACTCCTAGATCAGCAGCAACACATTTCAGTTGAACCCCTACAATTCAATCTCATCTGGACTTTAGCCTCATTCAGTCTTGACGTGATTTAGGTAAGTCACAGATATGGGTTTACAAAGCTCCATTTACATGAGGCTTTATCTCACTTGACACAGATACAGTAAGTGGCTGGTTGGTGTCTGTTATTGAGATGTGAACCTGAGGCTGAAGTCCAGCTGTGACTGGGCAGGAGAAGGCTGTGTGAAAGGACCTGCTGTACTCTCAGCAGTAGACAGCCCTGTTTGCATTCTGGTGCTTTTCATTCAGTAAGTGTAGAGAACTACAGTCGGAGCGTGGGAGAGGACTTGGGTACAGAGAACTGCATATCTGTACACTGCAGCCTCATACAGAGGTCTTCACTGAAGGTAACACTTTCGTATGTACAGTTTTTTTGTATTGTTTATTATGTTCACTGAATTCAGCATCGTATCATGAACTAAACACTGTTGTTGTCTTGACGACAAAGGAAAGTGAAGGATGAAGTGTGTGATCTGCTGGCTGCTGGCAGTGGCCCTGCTGCTGCTCCGTGTGACTGGAGTTGACATGGAGCATCTCCAAGCTGAGAACCTGAATCTCCTTCCCCCAGATGAGCACAACTTGGTCCTGAACCGTGGGATAAGAGGTATGTATAAATGTGACTTTCACTTTCATTTTGACTTTTCTTTTTGCTGGCTTTGCTTGTTTGATCTCAACACTCTGTTTGCCCATAACTTGTGCAGAATCCTCGAAACTCGAGCTGGCAATAGTGGTTCAGTATGTAAAACAATCCTGTGATTGCATTACCTTTATCTCAGATTATCAGTGTGGATTCTAACTGTGGGTCAAATTCCAGCCCGTAGACCAAAACTGCTCAGTAACTCATTAATGATATGTGTGACAGTTCGTCCTGTGAGGTGATTAGTGTATCTTAGTAACACAGTTTGTCAGACAAGTAGCCGTAATAGTTTCGCAATTGATCAAGGTTTAACATGCGGGAGACATTGAGAAATAGTGTTGGTGCGCTGTTGCCATCAATGTAATGACTAATTCCTGGCATTGCTGTTTACCACAAGGACACTACCACTGTGAGCGCCAAAGTTTAATGTTCTAAAATTGTACAGTCTGGTAACAAATCAATAGTTGGACGTTTGGTTATTCGTTTTCTTGCAGAGAGTGCAGAGAAATCTGGACATATTTCCTCTACAGTTCTGCCTGATATGTTTATTATTGATTTACCCAACAGCGCTGCCCAGGGACTGCCATGAAATGCTGATGATGTCTTCGGGCCAGGCCCTTGATGGTGTGTACCTGATCAAACCAGGTGACTCCCCCATCGTGGCCTACTGTGCCATGCAGGAGGGAGGCTGGACCGTGGTGCAGCATATCACCGTCAACAGCAGCGTGAATTTCGATCGTACCTGGGCTGAATATAAAGATGGCTTTGGGGCCGTAACCGGTGATCACTGGCTCGGGAACGAATACCTTCATAAACTCACCCGTGGCCCTGGGCGCTTTAAGCTGGGAGTAAAACTAGTGGACCGAGACGCCGTCACGAAGACGGGGGAGTATGATCCGTTCTTGGTGGAGGATGAATCGTCAGCATACAGGCTGAGGCTGGGGTTGTTCCAGGGCACAGCTGTAGATGCTCTGACTCTGGACACAGAGAACTACCTGCACGACAACCAGAGATTCACCACTAAAGACAGAGACAATGACAACTACTTCCAAAATTGTGCCAAGCTGGAGTTTCATGGGGTGCCGGGAGGAGGTTGGTGGTACGACGCCTGTGCTGGTGCCAACCTCAATCGCAGGAATGTCATCTACTGGCAGAAGGACTGCAACAAGGAGCGACTGTGCAAGTATGCATGGATGATGGTGAGACCTACGGACACAGTTAAACTGATTCAAAGTGAAAACTGCAAGAAGGATGAGCTATAAGGACACAGGATGTGTGACACTGGGTTTGGCTGACGGCCAAAAGTTTCGTTTTCTTTGCAACAAACACCACAGAAAGCTGCATCACTCAATTTCTCTGGACAATCAACTCACCACATTTTATTCAGAAATTCATGGACATGATCACAAAATACTGAGAACAAGAAAATGAATCACAAACTTGGAACACAGTATAAAAATGCAGTAGGGTTTTATCTCTAGCTTTGTCTCCATCATTCACCATGTTAATACATGAAGCAAAGCCACTCATCATTCCCCAAATTGCAAGTGCAGATTTCTTTATTATCACAGTTACAAAAAAAAAAGGTTTCATGACATTATAGCTTATGACGCATGTAAAATAGCTCCCATCCAATGCTGACACAAAACAACATTTCACAAACAGCATTTTATTTGTCACAGTACATTACACGTTTGCCAGAAATACAATGAAGATATGAGGGCATATTGATTTAACTACAGATATTCAGAGAAAAAAAAATACTGTATTACAATGCTCATGGAAAAAAAAAATATCCTGAGGATGAAAACTAATAAACTTATAATAAACAAGGTGTACTCTTGAATCCTCCACAATGTGTGTAAACACTGACATTGTTTAGGAAGTTTGACATGTAGTTTGAGTAAAATAAGTCTTTTATTTTGTAAGGGTTGTGGGCTGGACCAGAAGCGTTCAGTAATATTTGTAATTTAATTTATGGAATCATTACTCAATATTTTCCGCAGACATTTTCCAGGACAGAAAGTGCAGAAGATGAAATGTGAAAACGAAGCTGAAGCTATATTCCCTCATCTGACAAATTACAATGGCACATGTGAAAAGGCTTTGATTATCATCAAGTTACAAACTTGACTTAGCGAACAGGTTCTGACATCAGGACAACATGTATTAGCCATTTAAAATAAAATAGAAATTCCAAAATGTGCATCTTCAATACAAACACAATACCTACAGAATACAACTGCATGTGTTATGACATGTTAGGTGTAAGAGCATCAGTTCAGGGGAGGATACCGGCATTTCTTAAAACCAATATAGGGTCTAAATTATTCGATTGGAGCAATTTTATCATGCTCAAGATATGAAACTGTGCATCTTGATACGAATACAGTACAATATAGAACATTCTGCATAAGAGCGTCCATTTGAGGGGAAAATACTGGTATTTTTAATATTTTAGACTCTATTTACAGTGTCGCTGATTATGTTTTATTTTTGTATTATTATGGACAATTTTATAATGTTTTTCCATTTCCAATGTTGGAGCAGTAATTAACATATACTGTGGCTGACCTACTGATTACTGAGCAACTTAAATTATAAATTGAACCAGCTCCTGGATATAATATTATTTTAATACTGTGTAGAATTCAAGTTCATAAAGCCAAGATTATTAGCACAAACATATAATTTACAGCCATACGCCATCTTAAAAAAAAAAACAACAGTTCATGTCAGTTTGGAGCTAACCACGGGGTTTTGTCCATACCAGTATAGCTTCTCCTCAATCCTCTTCTTCTTCCACTGGCAAAGTAAGAGCATACGGAAGGTCTTTTGGAAAGTCTTGTTACAAAGGGCGTAGCACATGGGATTGACGGTGCTGTTGACGTAGCACAGCCAGTAGCCCAGATGCCAGAGTGAGAGGGGAATGCAGTCTGAGCAGAAGGTGGAAATAAGCACCATGATGTTGTAAGGCGTCCATGTTAGGATGAAGGCCAGCAAGATGGCGCTGAGAGTCTGAGCTGCCTTCCTCTCCTTGATCAGCACCATCCTCTTCCTCTTGGTGATCTGGTTCTTCAGAGTGGCGTCTATGGGCTTCGACGTCGAGGAGGTGGACGGGACGCTCATGGACTCGGCGGAGGAGAATGTCGACGTCGCCATTTTGGTGTCTCCGTTTTTGCTGTGGTGCTCTACGTGAGCATCTTTGGCCACAGGCTTGAACTTGTAGGACACACACTTGCTGCTCTTCTGGGAGTTGCTTTTGGGTGGCGTCTGGAAGAAGCTATCCTCTTCGTAGCTGCTGAGCTGCTCGCTCTCGCTGCCCACTCCAGCCTTGATGGTCTCACAAGCCTGGTTCCTGAAGGAGGGCTGGAAGCCCCCTGGAGACACAGGCCTGTCCTCATCCTCGGACGAGGCATAACTGTTGAAGGTGGTCAGCTGACCAGCTTTGGACCACTCGTCGTTGGTGGCGGCTGCTGATTTGGCCACATTGCTTCTGCTGGAGGAGGACCAAGAGGCTTGATTCCTGTCATGTGAAGCCGACCTCAATTTACAGCTAAAACAGGATCTGATGATGGTCTTCTGAGGGTGGGGGACCCCAGGGTCAGTGGGATAGCTAATCCCCTGCAGCTCCGCCAGATCTTTGGTTCTCTTCTCTGTCTCCTTGTAGATTCGACAATATAGGATGGTCATGACTGATACGGGGATATAAAAGGCAGCAATGGCTGTCCCAAAGGTTATCACAGGCTCAGAGAAAAACTGGATCTGGCATTGCCTCTCAGGGACAGAACGTTTTCCTACAAAGTATTGCCAGCAGAGAATAGGTGGGGCCCACAGAATAAGCGACACCAGCCAGGCCAAACCGATCATGATCCCAGCTCGTTTGGGAGTCCGCTTGGCCCTATAGGTCAGAGGCCTGGTGATGGAAAAATATCTGTCAAAACTGATCACCAACAGGTTCATGACCGAGGCGTTACTGGCGACATAGTCAAGCGCCAACCACAGGTCACAGGCGAGGTTCCCTAAGGCCCAGTAGCCCATCAATATATACGAGGTATACAGATTCATGGAGAAGACACCTATGATGAGGTCAGCGGCTGCCAGACTCAGCAGGTAGTAATTATTCACCGTCTTCAGCTGGCTGTTGACCTTGAAGGAGAGCATCACCAGAACATTGCCCACAATGGTGATGAGGCTGACTATGGCCGACACAGTCGCAATGGTGATCACCTCCCACAGACTGTGGGGGACCAGGTGGATATCCATTGTGCTGGTATTTACAGTGGAGTTCAGGACACCATCTCCCTCCATGGTCTCCTTGTGTTTATTAAAATCCAGCCATGAAAAGAGTGATTGGATTTGTCATTTTCAGAAAGATCTCCTGGTGAGAAAAGAAGCAAAATGTTATTCCTTATCGCTTAAAAATAAAGTGAGTTTATTCGTATAGCCACTAGATGAGATCAACTCAGCATGTTGAGCGTCACATATTTGCACTTTGCTCGACACTAAAAAGAATATACAAACTGTGTGTGTTGTTTTATACATCCTTAACAGAATAAATACATAAAACATACATTTGGTATTGGCATTGTTTTCTCTATTATGTTTCAGCTGCGACTCCTGGAAAAAAGACATTAAGCTGTTGTACATCATGCAGCTCACACAATTAAATCAAGTTCATGCAAGTACACGCATATGGCCTGTTCTAGGCAATCTCTGCAAACATCTGTGGCACATTTCAAAAATCCAGGTCATTACATAATTGCATTCCCTGCTCTTAATCTTTGCTGTTATCTTACTAGAGCATAAACTCAATTTATAGCTTCCTAAGACGGCCATTTCTTGATGAGAATATGGCAGACAATTCTGGTTTATTTTAAAACAAAAAATCCTCCAACAAACAAATGATGGTCGTGATTTCAGTTATGTTTTTGGTTTACTTGTCCGTCCATTCTCTATACAAACTAATGGAGCCCTTCCCAGCATTACATTAATATATATTGAATAGTCAATTAACTGAAATAATATTGAAGAGTGTATTTGTTCTTTCTATCAGTCAAATGTGTCAACATAATTTCCCCTGAAATACTGTAAGAAGAAATAAAGACAAGAAATGCGACTTGGATATAAGTGTGAAAACCAACCTGGGTGCACTCTAACGGAGTCAATACTGTGCATTCAGCCATGAAATTGATCCAGAAGATGCTGTCTGTGCCCAACTTTGAGGTTAGTGAAACATACAAATCTGCCTACATTTCAAACTCACTGCCAGCTAATTCGTCAGCCATGCAACAAATTCTTATTTCTGCAGTGTATACTATTTTATATTGTGTATATTATTTTTTTAGAGTTATGACACTAAAATAATCAAAAATGCAAATATTTTTCTTTGTGGAGAGCCTGTGCAATTCCCTCATCCTGCAATATACGTCCTTCTCTGCAGCACTATACTCTTTAGAAATAGAAACAATTTCTGTTACTGTGGCAGAGTTGCCCATGTGTGGTCATTTCCCTCTTTAAAACATTGCTTGAACACCTAAATGTCAGGAGTCTTTTTGTCTCCAAAGCCAACCATAGATGCTTATATCCAACTAAGTACATACAGTCATATTGTCTGGTCTTTTCTTAATACGGTTTGGACTTTCTAGTCACCAACTAATCATCACACAACGTGTTTAAACTATCAAAGAGATATGTATGTCCAGCACCCACAGGCAACTACACACTCTGCACCAGTAGAGAGCAGCAAACACCCTCCACATATGGAAACTCACAGCACAAATGTTTCCTTCACTGAGGTGGTGTGCGTGCACATTTCATCACAGGCTGCTGGACGCACCAATCAATAGTGGCTGAGGGGCTACCCATGCCAACCTGGACATGTGTTCGGAACAAACCCAGGGGAAATTTCTATTGTTTGATGTCTTGCCTTTCATGAGAGCTTTCATGAGAGCTTTTATCAAATGTATTGAAGCAGCATTAAACCCCCTGGGTTTGAGTACATTTGTGTACGTGAATGATTATATTCTGTGGGGAAAGCACAGATTTGTGTCCATTCCAACTATACAGTGTTTGAGCATGAGGCTAGTCTCTGATCCACACTGTCCGTTCTCACGGTTCTCACTCCCTCACTCCTCTCTTAGGAAATACATAAATACATAAATACATGGGCATTACGCCATTGGTTTTCCGCCATATATTTTTCTCTGCTTAGAATTAGGGTATTTTCGTGTCATGTTACAGCCCAGCATCTGTGCCCTGCGCATGACCTTCCAAGACCTTGTCATCTCAAGAATCCTTTCTATTGAAAATGACCGGTACAACAACAGTGGTCTAAACCATCATCAGGGAGGCAGAGACCATTTAATGCTCTCAGTGTGGAGCAACAGTGAAGTTTGGGGAAGATCATCTCTGAGAACCCTTCATGTGGTTTGTGGGAATTGAACCTCCTGGCCATCAGCCAGAAGTAGCAAATGTGTGTCTGTGCGCTGGCACACATGTGGACAGAGAAACAGCTTTACACGCCCTCATCCTGCAGTTTCTCGTTGCATTGGGAATTATTCTTTTTTAATTCTTTATCTATGTTTCTCGACTTTTGTAGTACTTGCTTTTTTAATTTTCTCTCACTATGTTTATTGTTATGCACCAATACACCAAAGTGATTTTCTTTGAATGTGAAGACCAATTGGAAATAAACCGGATTCTTAATTCTTCTGCTCCATTCTTCTAGTGTCTCGTGTACTAAGAAGATCTCCCCTAACAGCTCTCCCTAATGCTGAGCTCCTCCTAAAATGTATTGCAATTCAACCCACAATGCAATGCTTTGGACGAAGTCCCTACCCGGTAATTGAGAAATAATTTCCTCACTCATTGGCATACGTTTGACAGTGCCAGGTTAGCAAGAGTACCAGCAGCAGCCTGAAGCCCACACAAATAACATTCCAGTCACTGAGGGGGTCCTCCTGCAGGACTTGGATTTTCCCTTATCTTGTTGTAGAATGGCATTTCATATCACATCACTCAAATCCCCACATCATTACACTGTTTAGTGCAGGAGATGTCATGAATGCGTCGACAGAATTCTCTGCTATGAACAAACCGTTGTTTTGTTCTCATCGTTTACCTCATAATGAGGTCTTAATGGCACATTGGTTTCTAACTTTTTCTTACCAATTAGCTCGCACAACAACACACAACTGTGATGGTGAACATGGTAAACAATTACTGCAATTACAATTACTAAACATAACAACCTGAGCAGTATTGTTGTGACCACGTTTGAACATCAAGAACAGCCTCACAGACCCGCTCGTCTTATTGACAATGTGATAAAGTGCTGCAGGAATGAGTCCCAAAACCCAGAAATCAATTAGTGTTTTAGCACTTCTGTTTCCATCGTCTCAAAGTCAATGAGTTGTTCAATGGGTTTTTGTGTTAGATGCCCGAGATAAGGTCTGTGGTTAAAACGAAATGGGAAATGGAAAAATCCCATTGGCTTTCTGTTGAGGGAACCAGTGAGATGCTAACATCCTGGGTTGGCCTATAAAAATATGTCATCCCCGTATCACTCTATTCCTATTTTGTAGAGATCTATGACGCGTTTTATACCGTAGGGACCCAAGTCAGTGTAGCAGGAATTGAACCAAAATACACCAGCTGGCATAAAAGAACAAAAAGTAAATAGGCTGAACCATCAGTGATTATGTTTGATGGCACAAAAAATAATTAATTAGTAATGACAGGCATGTATTTGATAAACGAGGACTGTTGTGTTGCTAAGCCTACACACACACACACACATATTAGAATAGACTTGTTTTACCTCTTTGATCTCAACAGGTAGAGCAAGTCAAGCTTGCTAATAGCTTCTAAATCGAAGCAGGAAGCATCTTAATGGTACACTCAGAGCTCAGAGTGAGGGGTAAACATGGACTCTGCATCGCTATAAATAGTGGATATGGTCTGTTGTGGCCCCTTTTATAAACTTTTTATGGATGCAGTTCGGTATCAAAAGGCAGGAGAGAGAGCTTTGTGATTCTGTCTGGGCAAAAAGGCTGTTATTGAAAACAAAGGCAATGCTGCAGCATATCTGGTAGCATACCGCCTGCACTGTGACTTGGTTATGAGAATGAAGAAATGATACCCATTAGTATAAATCAGTGCCAAATAGATGTCTTGCTCTCACTCTTGCCAAGAAAACAAAATCCTCCTCATTACAGATACATCCTAAGAGTATTAGACTACCACCTAAAATATCGTGAGAGCTATCCATAAGTAATGGTCATTGATTCAGTGATTAACAGAGCCTGTGGGCTGTGGGTGAGGACAGAAAACAAAAAGAATCTGCCCTGGGCCTTCATACTGAGTGCAGAGGCGGACATGTTGAGGGGTGGCTTCCTGCAGGTCCTCTGGCACCTGGCCATGAGTGCTCCTGTGCAGTTGCTCCACACACTGGCCCCCACCAGGCCTCCCAGTCATGCGTAACCTTTTTCTATCTACACTCTGCTTTGGTTGCAGCATAGCAGAAACACGAAAGCAAATAGTGTGTGTGTGTGTGTGTGTGTGTGTGTGTGTGTGTGTGTGTGTGTGAGTGGCTTTTGTGGAAGAAAGCAAAGGAGGCAAAGGACACCAAGCGTGTCTGCGTGGCGAGTATGTATGATATGCAAATCAGCCCTGAGCTTTTTGGCACAATAGTTCGTGCATCTTGTAGTCAGCCCACTGACCCATGGTTAAGATTCCTGCATATGTGGCGTCCTGGATGAGGACATAAGAAATGCTTGAATTATTCTGTGTCGGGCAATGAATGAGAATGAAAGAGGATAATAAATGTTCAATGCAAGATCTGGCTCCTACACGTGCAATCTGAATTATTTATCAGTGGGCCAGTGTTTATAGCAAATAAAAGTAAGAATGCACTTTTCTGACTTTTGTTTATTCAACGCCCAAATGTTTTTCCCTCTGTTAGTTTAAAACAAGAAAAAAAACTTGATTTAGTCTACATCTCGAGAAATGATGGTCATTAAATGAATATTATGATCTGCGTATGGACGCCCCAGTGGTTTTGGCAGGTACTTAAGGGAATAAAACGCAAATGCTTAATGTATCGGGGAGTTCTTTTTTATGAGCGACAACAACATTTTATTAATGCCCCATCATTTGGATAATGATCTGGCAATAAACTCATTTGAGTTCTTGGATGAAGACATTTCTAAATATGAGTGTCTGTCGCTGTTTGAGCCTCTCGGTCGATGATATTTCCCAACTCGTAACACACCTAATTTTCTATATGCTGATGTCAGATTTTTCTGCAAAAACAACAGTAATAGTTTGAATTACCTCCATGCTGTTCAAATATTCATTTTCAGTTCAATGGTGGAACTTTGGCACCTTGAGGGTACACGCATAAGATTGCTCAAAAACGCATGTACATTAAGCTTCTATCTCAGATTGTTGATATACTTAATCTAGCTCACTATTTGCGAAATTAGAGCAAATGATTTGATGCCGTAGTTTATCCCGGCTGGACAGCTCCCAAACTACCATTGACAATTTCACAAAAAATCTAATTTGAGGTGAAATTGCTGCACAAAAACAGTCAAGTCTATGGGTCTACAATCTAGTCACAATTTCCCCAAACCCACCAAACCATTGCTTCTTTTATGGTGACTTTGTACATTTGCTGCAGCACCTCCTAAGATCTGTGGGGACTGGGTGAACTCGTTAAAATCACGCTTCACCGCTTAATCCTTCGCTTAATCGTGTTTTGTCATTTCCACTTAATCAAAGAGAAAAAGGGGAAAGGCGGCAAGAGCCTTGTGATTTAGCTTTTGAAGAAAATATTGATTGATGAAATAAATAAAAAAAAAAGCATTTTCAAAAACAGGAATTTAAAATTTTTGATACGCAGTTGAAATGATGATACCTTTTTCAGATATTTCAAAGACAAGTGTAAAGATAGAAGAAGAGGGGTGACAGAGAAAATAGGGTTGTGCCATTAAATTGGGTGCACTACTGAGACATAGAAATATGTTGAAGATGGATGTGTATACTATAAAATAGATATGCTGCTGTGTGAAGAGGCAAGATATTTACCGAATTACAGCCAATGGAAACACATATTTCCTCAAGGTATTCATAAATAACTAGTAGGCTTTAAAACGTACCACATATGTGACTAAAAAACGACATATACAATCTAATGTACGGCACTTTTCTGTACACCAAGTCTTCCAGAAGAAGAGAAGCACTGCTTTCCAGCAGCACATCCTCCGTTGCTTTCATTACGGTAAAAGGCTCCATTAAAAATACATGCAGAGACCTCTCAGACATGCACTTGTGCACACATGATGCTGCATCCCCTTAAAGCCAGGCCATGCCTTTGTGCATTCATCAAAAAGTGCATGTTCAATCGCTCGTGATTCTCTGGAGGCTGTGAAACAAGTCACTAATGTAAAGAGGAAGGATAAAAAGATGAACATACTCACAGTTAACTTTCATCAGATCTCACAGTCTCCTGTTTAAGGGCACACTGTGTCTCCTGGCGAGAGCAAAGTTCATGGTTAATTCCTTTGTTTTGCCTGGGAAGCCTTCGGGTCAAGTGTGGTGCTGAGGAGCAGGTTCACAACACAGTTGGAGAGAAGATTGAGGTGGATAGGAAAATCCTGCTTGCTTAACCCCTCGCATGCCAGTAGGGGTCCGAGGGAAAAGTGTGAGCGCCGAGGCAGAGGAGAAAGAGGACGAAGGGCAGGATGAGGGTGTACGCCGGGAGGCTTCGGTCATCCCTGCTCAAGAGGCGCAGAGTACAGCATCACGTTCCCCCTCGGCCATCCAACACGGCCACCGTGCGTCCAGATGAGAAAAGTATTCTCAAGTTGCACAGCATCCTTCCTCAGTCATTCATAAATTAGTACAATCGGCTCAGGAGCCGAAAGAAAGAGGACAGGAGAGAACTTTTCCTCCCAGTGTGAGCTGAGCCGGATGAGCTGCTTCTCAGCCAAGTCGAAGCAGAATGTCACTGAGAGGCTGCGTGACGCCTAAGCCAAGTCACTGCTGCTGCCACTCTGCTGCGGCTGCTGCTGCTGCTGCATCTACTCTGGCTGACAGACACCGATGTAGCCGACTTTAGCTGGCTGGGAGGAGAAATTCCCATAGGGCTGAATGGTTCATCATGTTTCGGGACAGTGAGCATGCAGCTCAGACCACAGAGGAAGGAGGGGGGGAGGTGGCTGGGTGACTTCTAGGGTTCTGTTTTGGAAGGTGTGGGGGCAGGAGGGAGTATGTGTGGATGTGGTGAGAGGGTGGTTTTCAGTCTGAGTAGTGAAGCCAAGACTTGCTTTTGTGTGGTTTTACCACATAGAGCATTAATTACATCCAATGGCGTGCCTTTTGTGTGTGTTTTACAGAAAAGCAAGAAGAGATTGTGTTTGAACAGCAATGTGGCTATCAGCAAACTCATCTGCGGAGCATAAAACACCCCTGCTGCCTTTGTGCTCTCAAGGGAGCGCGCTGACATGGCTGGACGAGATAAGCAGACTATTGAAGTGACAGATGTTTTTCATTGGGACCTTTTGCATGTGTGTGTTGGTGTGTGCGTGCATGTGGTACATACAGCATGCATGTCATTGTGCTGATTGGGGAATTATTCGCTTGGCATTCAGCGAGTGACCTGGATTGATAAAAAGTCCTCATATGTATTAATCCAGATGACGGTTGCTGATCCGTTCCGTGAGCTCCCATCAAATCATCAGAGAGATACAATAATAGTAATAAATCCAGTTGCTCCCAATACATTACTTTGAATTGTAGAATATACAGAAGGTATTTTCCCTCATTGGATCATGTCAACTTTACTTTGAAGGGTCACACGCCACAAAGGTTGGGAACCGCGGGTCCAATTCATTGAAAAAAAAAATGTATTTGCTTGCAAACTATCTGGATTACAATAAGTAAATAAAATAGTAAGTAAAATGCATTTTTATAGCACCATTTGGGATAAAACGTCACAAAGTTCTTCACAAGAAACGACATAGAATGAATAAAGAAATATAAAGAACGGAGATAGAAGTTGGTAGCAATGATAATAACAAAGTCCCATGTGTTGTCACAGACTGAAGAGCTGCAGGGGAAGCTGGTTAGTGGACTATAGATAGACGACACTCCCTACAATACGTCATATTGACATTTGTCATCATGCGGCTCTCACTCTGAAACGATTTTGCGACTAGGTCAGAGCTACATGCCAATGACATGATGGATGCGTTTCATGAAAATCCTGCCACATCTGTTCCACAGAGCACCGTGCATCTCCACTCGCCCCTCCACACTGGCTGACAGTCTAATCTAAAGCCCTTTCCAGGCATCCGGCCAAGACACAGACACCTGGCTCATCATTACCGATAAATCGCTGACCGACACAAAGTTTACAGCATAGTCATGTGTTTTATGTGATACAGCCCCACATTAACGCTCACAAAAAAGTGCAGGCGCGGACACCGACGTGCTATTGCCTTACAAGCTCATTCTTATTGAATAAATTCTCAGGATCTGTCTTATTGATTAAATCACAAAAGTCTATTTGAAATAATGTCAGGCTTAATGCGTCATTAACTGATAATAAAACCAGTAAGTCACATGAAGCACCTTAAGCCAAAAAATAATGGTTTTCTAATACCAGACACCTAAAAGTGCTTTTTCTTCCAGGTATCTTTTTTGATTTGGATCATCCTCACCTCATCCTCTCTGGAAAAACAATATTCACAAGGCTTCTAATGATAGCAGATAGTAGGGGCATGATTCAGGCATCCTCCTCTCTGCTCATCTGCATCGGCTTGCTTTTTCCACAGGTCACTGTCGGATCGCTGCATGACTGTGAGAGAGACAAGATGAGGAAGGACATCAACACAGCCAGAGATGGATTGCATCTGTCCACAGTCCACAGGGGCTTGCTTATCTCCTGACCCAATTGTGCACCCACATGATGGCAAAAAAAAGAAAATCTGCCTCTACACATCTTATTTTTACTCTGGAAGTGTTTGTGCTTTGGCGTGAAGGTCTGTTCCAGAACTGAAACTTGGCGAATGAGCTTCATTTAATCTAATACTACCCTTATAATTTTCTTGATTTGTTATTTGCCAAATTAGAGAGCAATTTTTTTTTTATCACCATAAACAATAAAGATCCAGCAGGATAGCCAGAATCAATCAGTAGCTCACTTTGGAGCCTCCTTTAATCTAGTTGATCCACGGCATGCGGGTCTCTCCACACTGGCTGAAAGAATCGCCTCTTCTGATGTCCTCCTCTCAAGGCTTTGATGTGCAACAAATGTTTATCTGCGGTCTTGGCTGCCTATTCCTTTTTTTTCTGTCTCCCTCTGGCCCCAAGCAACAACTCCTTTTTGACATAATGATTTGCCAATACCGTGTACTATTTCAGTGGATTTACTAGCCCCCCTACTGTGGCGCTCGCTTTTATCCCTGAGTATAAAATACTTGTTTCTGAGATGAAAAGATACACGTGTTCCCTTTTCCAGCTATTTGCTGCACACATACCTTGTTTAAAGCCTTTTGATGATCGTATGACTTTTTAGCAAGTTATCTAATATTTGAACAAAGCTATGCTTAGGGTCATGAATGCATAAGCGCTTACCGAAATTGGAATCCAGAAGCAGTATCCATGTCACTGACGAACAGTAAATGAGCGAGCCACCTGCTACCTACTCTAGGTACCAATCAGCTGTGGCTGGCTGGCACATGAGCTCTTCCTCTCTACAATGCAACTTTAATGTTGCCTCGACAGAGGAGATTAGGTGATCGGCAACTTTGATTGAGCCGCTATTGGGGACTTGTGGTTTGCACTCCTTTGAGGACATCCAACACCGACTCCTCGGACACTCCTGCGTCAACAACAATGACCTTGTCTGGACGAGAACCCAGGCTAACCTGTGCACGTGTGAGCGTGCATGCACTTGTGTAAGTGTGTGTGTTGGGAAAGGAACAAGCTGTCACGATTCAGGTATAAAAGGATTGGACCAAACGCAGGTGCAGAGATTCGGAAGCAGCCTGTAGAGTTCAATTCATTTATTTAACAGAATACCTTATAGCTGGTCGTCCAAAAAACAGGCAGGCAACAGAAGATCATTTAAATACCTAGAACGCTAAACACTGAAAAAGAAGTAAACAGAAAGAGCAAGGCTGGACCGTAGAAACAAGCTACTAAGGCAGTCGACCCGACACTGAAACAGGGAAACACACTAAAATACACAAGGAACTAATTAACAAATGAAACTCAGGTGTGGTGGGAAAAAAAAGCAACTAAGTAAAGACAGATGCAGGAAGTAAACCTGACACATTAACTTTCAAAACAAAAGAGGAAACAGACTAAAGAACCCAAGACCAAAACATAAGCTCTCCTTCTGAAAGCCATTGTGCTAAAGCTTTTGATCACAGCCCATGAAAGTGTTAATTAGTCCGATCATCATCATCATCATCATTATCATTATCATCAGATGATGATCATCACAGTTAAGGAGCCACACTTTCACCCGGAAAACAAACTGAACTGACCTTCGCAAAGCCCCACTGTCACTAACTAATTTATAACATTATAATATACTATTTTTGTAATAAAAACGTATATAAATAGATAGCAATTTACTGTAATTTGTGGGCTGAAATCTTGATATCTGAAGAATTTAAATCATAGAACAAAAAATAGAGAAAAGAAGGAATAAAAGTATGTACTTTTACACAGCAGAGGTGAACACACACCTTTACGATGGCATATTTGCAAAGAACGAAAACTACAAACAAGCTCAGCTGTATAAGTGTTTGCTCCCCATTTTACATCTTTGTCCTTGTATGCAGGTGTGTGATACGCGTATAGGTGCTCATGTGCATACTGACGCAGATCCTGTTGAGGACACTGTGTACAGCATGTCCAGACACCCTCCCTTCTCTATCAGGTCGTCCAGTCACCATCTGTCTGAATTATTGGCCATCAAAAAGGGTGTCAAAGCTTCAAATGAGCTCGGCCAATGCCGCTGGAGAATCTTATCAGCAAATGCCAAATTTCTACTGTGTGGAGTGAAAAAAATCGAACACCTTTTCAACCAAGCTTGCCCCGTGCAGCCTAACTCTAGAGAGACAGAGAAGGAGAAGAACAATTGCTAAATATCTGATCTCTCTCTCTCTCTCTTTCTTTCTCTCTCTCTCTCTCTCTGACTCTGTTTATCTGGGCGCTGCCCCGCTATCACGTTGGGCTGGCTTTGCAGGGCTGTCTGTGTCTCTTTAATTATTGTAATTTAGGACCACCCGTTGAATGCCTCCATCTGCCCCTCTCTGAGGTGAAAGATGGAAAAATCCTCAAAAGACCTTCAGTCGAATAGATCCATCAGGAGAAGGAGAAGTCTTCACATTGCTTCTTTTAAAACAGGACACTGTTAATTCATTCATACGCAGTAACTCTGCTTGTTCCTTACTCCCCTGGTGAGATGAATTCTTGTCTCCATCCCCAGGACATTGTTCTAATCTGCCTCATTTACACTCTATGCTCTAATAGGAGGGGCACATCTCTCATGCAGTATCCTGAGGTATAGTATGTTTGAGTGAATCCACTATTTCTCAAAGTGGAAAATCTATAAGCCCCCAGCTAGAGTTTCTGCTCAGGCTGCTTATGAGAGATGACGGTTGTCTCCATGAGGGGAAGTTTTGCAATTATGTCAGAGGTGAATAAAAAAGATGTTTCATGTGCACCATTTAGAGGCACAGAATGTAGATTATCATAACAACATTTGGGAAATGTTATTGATCCATGTCCACATGTATTCATCCAAAAAGGTTTACTGTCCAGGCATTAATGTCATTGTTGTATGTTGTATTCTATACATATTATAGTATGGTGTGTTTTTCATATCTATTCTTTCATATTTTAATATTATCCATTTTATAATCATCATACC